CTTGAAGGGGCAATCTATGCTGGAAGTGGAACACATTTTAATGCATTAAAAACAAACAATAAAAAAATCATCAAATATAAAGTGATACCTTTGAAGTTCATGCATTTGCCCCAGGCTTCACAGCTTCTGCAGAGCAGAGGAACACCTGTTTAAGATTCTTACAAGGATACTTCTCAACCTAGGCAAATGTTCTTGCTGTGTGTTCCCAGGTGGTCTGGGTGTCTCTGGAATCATTTAAAGTAAGCAGGACAGACTGGAGTTCCACTAAGCACATGGCAAGTGCCACATTTAGGAGCAGAAAATTCTGGATTAGACGGAGCACTCAGGAAATGTTTTTCCTGTTCGATAAACTGCTTACAATGAACAATAGAAGTAAACATCAATATAAACAGTAAAAGCCAATCAAATAATCCTTAAAGGAACACTATAGACACCAAAACCACTTTAGCTTAATCAAGCAGTTTTGGTGTATAGAGCATAACCCTGCAGTCTCTTTAACATTGTTTATACAGCCCTAATCACACCTCCCCGAATGTGACTTAAACAGCTATTCTAAACACTTCCTGTAAAGGAACCGAGATATTTTAGGTTCCCTTACTGCACAATCTGTGTGCCACACCAGTTGGCGATTTCACCATCTGAGTTCTTTGCAAAATATAAAAGAACCCAGAAAGTGACAAAGCAATTTTAATGTGCAGTTTTAAAGGTTGTAGATAATCTATTTTACTGATACATGTAATGTAAATATAAAACGAAAAGAATTGATCATCGAGTTACAATAAACACATTTTTTGTGCATGTGAAAATGTCCTGAGTCTCAATACTGGTGGGTGAATGAAAAAGGCACAGAAAATGAGGGGAGATTGGGAGGTTTAATGGAAAGCAGAACGTAGAATAAAATAAAGAGCAGGGAGATTTAATGAAAAGGGGGTGGAGATGTAGAGAGAAGGTTTATGGAAGGTTTCGAGAATAGCCAAGACAAAGTCAACATTTTTAAAGGTCATTTGCACATTTCATAGAGTGGCCAACTCCGCTATGCTTTACAGAATAACTGTAATTTCCTATCCATTTGTCCATTACATTAAAAAAGGTGCCAGAAAGAAATTAAATGAGGGGTCTTGGTGACCTCAAACAATGACATTGAAGGTCGAAGGGACTATGGATGTCTCTGAGATACCTTGGGTAGATTGGAACTCCTCTATCAGACTGTTGAGATACAATAACCTGGATTTCTGAGCAAGTTGCGAGTTTTACTACTGGGCTGCCGCAGATTCTTTTTTGTCATAATTAATTCTGTCACCCTTCTCTCGGTGATAAGACTAGAGTCTAGGGTGACACAATAGGGTTTATAAACCATACTGTGGATTAAAAACTGAACTGCAATTGTGTTGTATGATTCCCCCCCCCCCATATGTCACTGAAGTGCATCTCTTCGTGTTATCCCCGAACGTTCTTTGTACACCATGTTGTGTTCCTTTCATATGTATGTGTCTTATTGAAAAATCAATAAACAGAATATGAAAAAACAAAAACAAAGTATATTAAATATATGAACTTCAAAATGTAGGTTAATAGAGTGGAGTTGGGGGATTTTTTCCAAATCGTCTTTATGACCTAGGTTTTGTAATTTAGATTTCAATCCTCTACAATTCGTTTTTTTATTTATACCCCTCTCCCCCAACATTGGGTGGTATGAGATTGGGATGGGGTTGGCGTGTCCTGATGGGTTGTTGAGACTATGAGGTCCTGAGACTCTGAGACTATTACCAAGTGGCTCAGTGTCAAGTCAAACTACACAATATGAGAATATAGTAACAGGCAGGTCATATAATTCACACAAAACACCTTCAGGTAATGACTAGGAGAAATAATTTTTCTACACAAGGATTATTTTTTATTGCCAGTTAGATCTTCAGGCTTGAGTTTGCCCTAGCAATATGCTTTTAAAATAAGTGTATTCAGGCCCGGACTGGCCATCGGTGGCAAATGCACGGTGGGCCGCGGTGGCCATGGGCCGAGGCCGGCAGGGGAGGTCCCAGGATCTCCCCTGACGGTCTATGCAGGGCCGGCACTATCCGAGCGCCGGCCCTGCTGTTTTTCATGAAGGGCCGGTGGGGAGATCAAAGATCTCCCTCACCGGCCCACATGCTGTATAATGCGGCCGCCGGCGGGGAGAGAGGGAGGGAGACAGCCAGGAGAGAGGACCCGGCGGAGCTCTAACTTAAAGCTCCGCTGGGTTCCTCTCGCGAGATCCGGCGCGTTGCCATGGCAATGACCGGATCTCGCGAGAGTGAACTCTAGCCCCACAGGCTATGCGGGCTAGAGTTCACTCACCACGAGGACCACCAGGGGCTCTAACTTAACACTGCCACCCCGCCTCCCAGTCACCAGTGTGCCGGCACCACCCCCTCCCAGGCTAAAGGTAAGAAGGGAGGGGGGGACACAATGCCTGCTTAGTTTATTTGTTTATTTACCCCCCTACACACACAATCCATTCTAACATGTATACAGCACTCTCTCATACCCATCACACACAGCACTCTCACACCCAGCACTCTCTCACACCCATCACTCTCACACCCAGCACTCTCTCACACAGCAATCACACACAGCACTCTCACACCCATCACACACAGCACTCTCACACAGCAATCACACACAGCACTCTCACACAGCAATCACACACAGCAATCACACACAGCACTCTCACACAGCACTCTCACACAGCACTCTCTCATCCATCACTCTCTCACACCCATCACACACAGCACTCACACCCATCACACACAGCACTCTCTCACACCATCACTCTCACAGCACTCTCTCACACCCATCACACCAGCACTCTCTCACACCCATCCACACACTCTCTCACCCATCACACAGCACTCTCACACAGCACTCCACCCATCACACAGCACTCTCTCACACAGCACTCTCACACCCATCACACAGCACTCTCTCACAGCACTCTCACCATCCTGCCTCTCTCACGCCTCTCCCACCATCACACACAGCACTCTCTCACAGCACTCTCACACCCATGACACACAGCACTCTCACACCCATCACTCTCACACTCACAGCACTCTCTCACAGCACTCTCTCACAGAGCACTCTCACACACACAGCACTCTCACATCCATCACACACAGCACTCTCTCACACACAGCACTCTCACATCCATCACACACAGCACTCTCTCACACAGCACTCTCACACCCATCACACACAGCACTCTCTCACACAGCACTCTCACACCCATCACTCTCACACCCATCACTCTCTCACACACAGCATTCTCACACCCATCACTCTCACACCCAGCACTCTCACACCCAGCACTCTCTCACACAGCAATCACACACAGCACTCTCACACCCATCACACACAGCACTCTCACACAGCAATCACACACAGCACTCTCACACAGCAATCACACACAGCAATCACACACAGCACTCTCACACAGCACTCTCACACAGCACTCTCTCACCCATCAATCTCTCACCCATCACTGTAGCACTCTCTCACACCCATCACACACACAGCACTCTCCACCATCACACAGCACTCTCTGGCACTCTCCCACCCATCACCCAGCACTCTCACACCATCACACCAGCACTCTCTCACACCGCCACACACAACACTCTCTCACACAGCACTCCACACCATCACACACACAGCACTCTCTTTTAGCACTCCACCCATCACACAGCACTCTCAGCACTCTCCACACCCATCACACAGCACTCTCTCACACAGCACTCTCACACCCATCACACACAGCACTCTCACACAGCACTCTCACCCATCACACCTGGCACTCTCACACAGCACTCTCACTTCACACACAGCACTCTCTCACTGGCCTCTCTCACACCCATCACCCAGCACTCTCTCACACCCATCACACACAGCACTCTCACTGGCACTCACACCCATCACACACAGCACTCTCTCCCACAGCACTCTCACACCCATCACACACAGCACTCTCTCCCACAGCACTCTCACACCCATCACACACAGCACTCTCTCACACAGCACTCTCACACCCATCACTCTCACACCCATCACTCTCTCAC